CCTGCAGGGTTCACACCAGGCCGAGGAAACCCCGATCTGCAGGGTTCATGCCAGGCTGAGGGACCCCCGATCTGCAGGGTTCACACCAGGCTGAGGAAACCCCGATCTGCAGGGTTCATGCCAGGCTGAGGGACCTCCCATCTGCAGAGTCCACAGTCAGACTGAGGACACTCTACACCTGCACCCACCTTACAGGCCAGAGGGAGGGACCTCTACCCTCCAGTGTCCTGCTGTTCCAAGCCAGACCACCCTCTTATCTTCCCCGACTCCCCGCGGGGTCCCACGGAAGCCCTGTCTGCAGGTGGAAGCTGCCCGCAAGGAAAGCTGGCCCGCTGGCCGCAGTGTCCAGGACTCCCACAGGCGCCGTCACACACGGCCACGCAGGAAGGAACCACGGCTCCATCGGAGCCCCAGGGGTGCAGCGGCAGGAATAAAATCCTGTCCCGGTAATTTTGGAGAAGGGAAAAGCAATGACAGCCCAGAATCACTGCCCTCTTGGAAGGGGAGAAAGCTTTTCTCTGAAGTGACAAAGCAGCCCCCGCACACGTCCGCAGTGACGCCGCAGGAGAGCGCACCCCCGGGCTCCTGCGTCGGGCGCCTGTGCACGCGGCATGCCCAGACCGGCCGGCCTCGGTCCTCGGGCTCAGCAGGGGTGATACTCGGCCACCCCTTCCGTGACATCCCACCGTCTAAGGAGCGCGATGAGGTCTGGAGAGTACCCTTGGCCTATAAGCCCCCAGCCAGGTGGCCGGGGCGCCAGGCCCTGTGAGGCGTTGAGCCTTCCCGGAGGTCGGCAAGGTCACGCGGGGAGAACGGTGAGGACGGAACAGAACGAGGCTGCCCACCTCGCGGCTCGCTGCGCACTCGTGTCCCGGGCACCCCCGTGCGCACTTCACTTGTGATCATGCCAACTCCCGCTCCACCCCCATGGAACTGCCACACGCGCACCATCGCCCCGTCCACGCCACTGGAAACCGAGGCACAGAGGGGTTCGGGGGCTCGCCCACAGCGCGCGTCCGCGGTGCCCGGGGTCCTGCCCGGGACCTTCCAGAATGGCCCACGTCACTTCCAGCCACCGTCACCCTGAGTGTCCCAGTTGTTGATGCGGAAATGTGGGCTCGGCAATTACACCACTGTGACGGGACGTCTTGTTCTAAAACCGATTGATAAACTCCCATGGTCCCATGTACGTCGGCTCTCGAAATAAGAGCTAACGTTTACAACGGTCACGACGTGCCAGGCACCATTCTGACACTCGGCTCAGGTCATCGGACGACAGCCTCAGTGGTCTGGACTCTCCTGGTCCCTCCCTGTCGCTGTTGGGGAA